GAGTGTCCCTCACGATGGTAGGGGCTGACTCTAACCTTTGGAGCAAAGGAGAGCCGAGTCCACCTACACCATCCTCCACATCCAGGTGAAGATGGGGCACTGCGTGGGTGACCAGGGACCTGGCTGTCACAGTAGGGCTCCTGGACCCCTGCGGTCTGCATGAGGCTGTCTGGAGTAGACACACGGTACTGCCACCCACCAGCAGTCCACATGGTGCCTTTGTGCAAAACAGAAAAGGTGGCCCCTTCTCGAGACTCCGACTAGTAGTCACAGAATCATCACAGTGTACTGGGTTGGTGAGAATAAGACTTTTACTGCCATTTTCTGTGACGTTATCAAATAAAAAAAATCTCTGACATCTATTAGATTATTGGAAAAGTCATGACACATTTTTGCCCAGAAAAATATGTCATGACTTTTCCGACCACGCAATACAATGTTGATGGCACCTTGTCAAGTTACGCAGTACGTAACCCGCACAGCTGCCTATGCCTTTCAGGACACACCTTCAGCTTTTGGCAGACCCTCAGTAGGGGTCAACAGTCGTGGCCTAACCACCTCTCAACACCAGGAACCTTCTACCCCATGTTGAAGTGCTCTATCACTCCTTGAGAACATAGGGCTGGTTTCACTGTTCACGCTCCAGAAATTCAAACAACCCCATGCACAGCGAACCTGGGCTTCCGCTAGGCCTGCACTAGCCGCCTACAGGGATGGCCCATGGGGCCGATACTCAGATTCAGCATTTCCCATTGGCTTTGGGCAATGTTTGAAAACCTCCAGGGAGCACGTTGCCATTTTTCTGACCTTGGTAAGAAGCCCTATTGTGTAAGATTGCATGCCATCTAGAAGGGCCCAGTTGAGCTCCAGTTCTGAAGTGTTGCCCCTGATCTGACACGCCAGCAGCCTTCTTGTCAGGGTGAGGGGATTCCACATTTGTCTTCCTGACCTCACAAAAAGTTCGCTTTCATCCTAATTTCCAACTCCAGAAAACTGGACAGCTGGTTCCATTTCTGTGGTGCCCGTGACACTTCCCATGAGTGGTCCTCTGTTCCTTTCCTGGCGGGGCCCCAGCTCCGGACCACGTGGGCTGTGAGTTTCTGCAGGCCAGGCCAGACAACAGCCCACTGGTGATTTCCACGTCTCTTCTAAGCATCTGAGCAATGCAAAGCTTGGGAGGGCTGACTGCCCACATCACCTGAGTGATGATGAGCTTGTCATCACTGGGCCAGGTTTTACTATTCTGCACACATGTTAAGTAAGCAGCTTTTAATCCTATTTCAGCGAAAATCACCTTTTCTCTCAATTCTGATAACCTTCTCATCCATTATCTTGCAGGGAACTCAGTATCATTAGGACACAGGGCAATCGGTAATTGGGTGCTACTCCTGCTGCTTGGTGGAGAATGTGTGCCTCTGTGAGGCTGGAGACAATTCAAGCTTAAAGCCCAGTTCACAGGCGTGTCATTTAGCATCCCGGGAGGGTCCCTAGGACTGGGGTAGTGCTCATTTTCCCACCTACCCATTTAAAATACCATTTGAGGATCTGATGATTTTCACCAGGAAGCTCACCACACTGCTCGTGGCCAGAGCCTTGTCTGTGCTTCTGCCCCCCAACCCAGCAAACAAAAGCGTGTCCACCTCGGGATCCCCATTAGGTCCCACCTCTCCCATTCCAGCATCTCTATCTTGCCCTCCCTTCTCCCAGACCACATTCAGGGAGCAGGGTGAGAAGAATTCTGAAGACTGTGCCCTGAAATTTGTTACAAGACACGTATACCCCCAATAGTTTCCCTTGGGTAAAGGTATTCTGGTATTTGGGATTGTTTTGAAAGTGTTGAAATAGGAGTCTCTGTCTCTCTGGCTTCCCTCCCGTCTCTGACAATCTCAGTGGCTCCAGCAATCCTCTGTCCTCTCTGGTCTCTCTTCTCATTCCCAGCATTGTCCCTTTCTCAGCTCCCTTGCTGAGGTTGGCCAGGAGACCTGGGGATAAGGAGAAGCAAGGGGCTCTGTTCAGTACCAGGGACAGCAAGCAGGCCCCACCCACTCCTCCCTGTCAGTCACACTGGGGGGTAGCTGGGAGGCCTTGTACAGGGGTGACTCCTCGAGCCTCGTTTGTAATCTAGCAGTCTCAGACCTGAATCCCTTTCGTTTCATTTTGCCAAGCCAAAGCCCTTTGACCCAAGGCTTTTTGGAAAATTGCCCCCATGTTTGCCTCTGGTCTTGTGTTGACATGAGCTGAGGAAGCTTTCCTCTCCCCTGGGCAAACAGGAGATGACTGGGGTGATGGGAGAATCTGAAATCAGATTCTCCATGCTGGGAAAGACCTTAGAGACATGCAAGGCAGCAGACTCTGGGGTAGAACTGGGCCACTCTGCACCCACAGCCGCTGTTCCCTACTTGTTGCTGACAGGCGGCTGACCCCATTTGCAGGCAGAGAGAGCAGATGAGTCTCCAAGAAAGCCCCTTCAAAGTCGGGTGGGCCCCAGGAAGACCTGCCCTGGTCCACTGGGGGAGGCCGGGAGAGGTTTCAGGCTGGGTTCCTCTCCCCCTGTAGTCCTTCTTCCACACGGTCCTGGAGAACAGCCCCCACTGCCACACCATGGTGGACAACAACCTGCGGATCACCAACTGGAACCGCAAGCTGGGCTGCAAGTGCCAGTACAAGCACATCGTGGACTGGTGCGGCTGCTCCCCCAACGACTTCAAGCCGCAGGACTTCCATCGCTTCCAGGTGAGACACCGCCTGCTAGTCCTTACACCACGCCCTCCCAGGAGCCTCTCCAGACACCTAGGGCTGAGCTGGAGGTCACCTGATCCCGGGTGGTGCCAGCCCAGCTCCTGACAGTGCCACTAAGACCAGCAGCAGCAGCGGGCATTCCCTGAGCACTTACTGCATGCCAGGGTGGTCCTGACCTCCAGGGCCATGTCTGCTCTTACCCCCACCATAGCCTTAGATGCACTGTGGAATGTGCACCAGCCTCCCTGTTCTTGGCCCACTGATGAGTACCTCTGTACAGCTGTGACAGCCAAGACTGTCTCAGGCATTGCTGAATGTTCCGGGGCGGGGGAGGGCAACTTGCCCCACGTTGAGAACCACTGATCTCTGGTGAGATCCAGGAATTTGATCTTTAATGTGCCCACATTGGGAAATTCTCACAAGTAGCCGAGTTTGTAAATCCATGCTCTGTGAATGTGAAGTCGTAACAGGAGGTAGAAATGCTGTCGTCTTCCCACTGTCTCTGTACAGCCTCGCCACAGATGGTTCTGGGCAGAGCCAAGGCAGGAAGGTGGTAGATGCTCATCTCCACGAGTCTCAAGGCTCTCTTGGTCCCAGGTCCTGCCCCAGATGACAGCCTCCTTCCACCTACGGAAGCACCGCTTGCACTCTGCCCCTCCCTCCAGGCCCCACGGTGGCTGGGAAGGAAGGGTTCTCCAGCTTCCTTCTCTCCCCCTCATCACACCCGGGTCCCAGCTGCAGAGAGCACTAACGGAAGGCCATGAAATGGTTCAGCAAATCACCCAGAGGTCACTAGAACTGCCCCGTGGAGAGAGAGTGCTGCCTCCATCCAGGACAGTAGTGCCAGGCTGATAACCCAGCTGAGGAGCGCCTGCCCCCTCACTCGGGCACATACCGAAACATCTAGGGGAGCACTTGTGCTGTTCCTGGGGTTCTTCCAACCTCCCAGCCTGTGTCCTCGGGCAGCAGCATCCTCACCTCCAGTGCAGGCTCTCGACTGGGCCCAGATCTACTGAGTCTGAATCTATAACCAGTCAGCAAGGCCCCCATGTGACCACCAGGCCATCACGTTTCATCTGCTTTGTACTAGACTGTGTGCCAAGCCCTCTGGACATGGGCTTCACTAGGGTGGATATCACCTCCATTGTGCAGGTGGGGAAGCTGAGGCACAGAAGGGGCATCTACTTGCCCATGGCCACACAGCTGATCAAGTAGTGGGCTGGGGTGGAGGAGTGTCTGCTCTGCAGCCTCTAGCTCCAGACTGGGTGTTTTCCACCAGACCCCGCTGCTGTCTGGCTTCGTGCCTATACGCCCAGGATGCACGGCAAGTGCCTCCCAACATTCGTGTTCAGGTTCACGGTTCCTACCGGTCACCTTTAGCCACTTTAAGTGAAGGCTTCAGTGGGTCTTTATTTGAGCCTTTTGGTGGCAGAGAGAGCTACCCAGGGATCTCCTCAGACCAGGTTAATTTACACATGCACTTGGGTAGCATTTTAGCTGCTTGTTGTCCATGCAGAAAGGATCTGCTGAGCAGAGTTACAGGAGGATGTCTGACCTGTTCAAAAGAAAGAACAAAGAGAAAAGAAACCCCCCCCCCACCACCACCACATTGGTAGAGGGCCAGTCACTGCCCTCGTTGCCAAGGACCTTCATCACATAGAGCAAATAGCCCAGAGCCTCTGTGTGGCCATGCCAGGGAGTGTCTCTCTACGGGCTGCTCGGGGGCGACAGCATTTGCATTCCAGCCCCAGCATCTGGGGACATTGTGGTCCCCGAGAAAGCCTCGACAACAGAGCCCACATCATGTGCTCGTGCTTTCACAATAAACAAAGATCGAGACTATGCCCCAACATCTAGAATCGAGAAGCTGCTGTGTGTAAGGAACTCGGAGTTCTTGTTCAAAGAACGATAAATATAGAAACGTGCCCTTTGGAAGACTGGGACAGGTCAGAGCATCGCAGATGGAGGAAGGACTCCAGTTCTCTGCCTCCAGAAAAGAAAGCCTTGTAGGCTTCAAGGCAGGTGGGCGCCCGGAGCAAATTTCATGGGCAGAATCATAACCAGAGATTACAGCAGCTGCTGGTGTGTGGCGGGCACTCTGCTGGCAGCGCCCCACGGTGGCTGGGAAGGAAGGGTTCTCCAGCTTCCTTCTCTCCCCCTCATCACACCCGGGTCCCAGCTGCAGAGAGCACTAACGGAAGGCCATGAAATGGTTCAGCAAATCACCCAGAGGTCACTAGAACTGCCACGTGGAGAGAGAGTGCTGCCTCCATCCAGGACAGTAGTGCCAGGCTGATAACCCAGCTGAGGAGCGCCTGCCCCCTCACTCGGGCACATACCGAAACATCTAGGGGAGCACTTGTGCTGTTCCTGGGGTTCTTCCAACCTCCCAGCCTGTGTCCTCGGGCAGCAGCATCCTCACCTCCAGTGCAGGCTCTCGACTGGGCCCAGATCTACTGAGTCTGAATCTATAACCAGTCAGCAAGGCCCCCATGTGACCACCAGGCCATCACGTTTCATCTGCTTTGTACTAGACTGTGTGCCAAGCCCTCTGGACATGGGCTTCACTAGGGTGGATATCACCTCCATTGTGCAGGTGGGGAAGCTGAGGCACAGAAGGGGCATCTACTTGCCCATGGCCACACAGCTGATCAAGTAGTGGGCTGGGGTGGAGGAGTGTCTGCTCTGCAGCCTCTAGCTCCAGACTGGGTGGTTTCCACCAGACCCCGCTGCTGGCTAGCCTCCACGGCAAGTGCCTCCCAACATTCGTGTTCAGGTTCACGGTTCCTACCGGTCACCTTTAGCCACTTTAAGTGAAGGCTTCAGTGGGTCTTTATTTGAGCCTTTTGGTGGCAGAGAGAGCTACCCAGGGATCTCCTCAGACCAGGTTAATTTACACATGCACTTGGGTAGCATTTTAGCTGCTTGTTGTCCATGCAGAAAGGATCTGCTGAGCAGAGTTACAGGAGGATGTCTGACCTGTTCAAAAGAAAGAACAAAGAGAAAAGAAACACCCCCCCCACCACCACCACATTGGTAGAGGGCCAGTCACTGCCCTCGTTGCCAAGGACCTTCATCACATAGAGCAAATAGCCCAGAGCCTCTGTGTGGCCATGCCAGGGAGTGTCTCTCTACGGGCTGCTCGGGGGCGACAGCATTTGCATTCCAGCCCCAGCATCTGGGGACATTGTGGTCCCCGAGAAAGCCTCGACAACAGAGCCCACATCATGTGCTCGTGCTTTCACAATAAACAAAGATCGAGACTATGCCCCAACATCTAGAATCGAGAAGCTGCTGTGTGTAAGGAACTCGGAGTTCTTGTTCAAAGAACGATAAATATAGAAACGTGCCCTTTGGAAGACTGGGACAGGTCAGAGCATCGCAGATGGAGGAAGGACTCCAGTTCTCTGCCTCCAGAAAAGAAAGCCTTGTAGGCTTCAAGGCAGGTGGGCGCCCGGAGCAAATTTCATGGGCAGAATCATAACCAGAGATTACAGCAGCTGCTGGTGTGTGGCGGCCACTGTGCTGACAGCCCAGATCATAGTACCCGTTCTAAGGTTGAGGAAACTGAGGCTCAGAGAGCTTGGGGGACTTGCCTGAGGATTACGCAGCTAGAAAATAGCAGAGTGAGGATTCGAACTCAGGCGGCGTGACTTTGGCAGTGCCACTGTAAAGGAACCGGGCTGACTCCATCACAGAGAGGGGTCTCAAGGAGTCACAAAGCAGAGAGGGGGTGAGACATTTAGAATAATCCCCAAACATTTCTCATCAGGGACTTCCCATTCCCTCAGTTACCCGGATCCAAGGGTCATGCACTAGAAAGAGCTCAGGCTATGGGGGGTCATCAAACTCCACACACTGAGTTGGTGCTTATCTCTTCCCCTCTGTGAGCTCAGTGTTCTCATCTGTCAGGAGGGAATAATGTACCTGCCGGCCGAACTGAGGGGAGAAGGAGAGACGTTGACGAAGGCCATGCTGTGTGTGCCACTTGTGCTCGGTGCGTTGTTGCTCTTCATCCATGGCAGGGAGTGCCGTGCCAGGCCCTCATGTGGGTCACCAGTCACACTGAGCCTTGTGAGCTCCTCGAGGGAGAGGGCTATTTCATTTGTTTCTGAGCCCTAGACCCGGAGTCAGCCACTGCCTAGTTTTGTCCGTGCGTTTCTATGGGAACATGGCGACACACCTCCATTTACCACCTTTAGTTGCTTCTGCAGGGTAGGGTCGAGTACTTTGACAGCTGTCCATTTTTAAGCACCTGATCCTTTGCTGAAAACGTGTGTCAACCCCTGCCCTAGGGCACGGCATAAAACCTGGTAGATCACAGGTGCTGAGTGTTTTATTTCTTTAACCCTCTGCCTGGAATCTTTTTATTTATTTATTTATTTATTATTTTAAGATGAGGTCTTTGGGCCCAGCAGGTGGTGTAGTTGTTAGTGCACTGGACTCGCACATGACCGACCATGGTTTGAGTCCCAGACCTAGCGGCTTGCTTTCTCACTTTCCCTCTCTCTTTCTCTCTCTGGTGAGTGCATGTGCCCTATAGCAAATTTTAAAAATAATAATAGATAAAATAAATAATTCTTTTTTTAAAAAAAATAACAAGGTCTATCAAGAACTTCCTGCCTCAGCCTTGCATCTGAGACTCCACCCTGCCCAGCTCTTCATTAGACAGGGTCTCTCTCCATTGCCCAGGCCAGCCTTGAGCTTACCTCTTGTCCCAGCATGTCCCAGTTATGGGCATTATAGGCACTCGCCACCCAGACTGCATTAGTTAGAACAGGGAATTGAACCCAGACCTCCTGTGTGGTCCCAGCCCGCCCAGCACAGTCTCAGCAGCAGGTAGTGAATCTTAATCCTGGCTCAGCCACTGACTTGCTGTGTACCCTTGGCTAAGTCCCTTCCCTCTCTGGGCCTGTTTCTTTGACAGCCTGGTTTACATCGATGGTCCTTGAACAATGGATAGTTATCTCCTGGAAAATTGGAGCATTTAGGCGTTCTTGTTTTGGAGACACATTTCTGAGCCTCATTCCCTGAGGTGTCAACTTGGTCTCAGAAAGGATCCTCAGATAGGAAGGGTTAAAAGCCACCCACATGACTCTGCCGTACAATCATCGCTGGTGACTCGCATCCTCATCAAACCTTAGTGAGCACACAGATCATTGGCAAGGCCCGATCCAGAGATTCTGCTTAGCAAAAATGGGATGTTCTTTCTGAGTCTGCAAGTGGGCTGCAGTGCCAGGAAGACAGTAGGGAGTGGTGGAGACTGCAGCAAGCTAAGGAGCCATGCTTGTCTAAAGGGACAGCTACTGTTCAGCTTTACTGGTTGTTACCATACAGGAGTGTGGGTCTGAGGTTGCCATATCTGGCATTTGAATGAAAGCCAGAAATTATGTCTGCCAACTCTTCCACTTTTTAAATGTTGTCAGCTCATTCTGTTTTGAAACTCTGCTGGCCAACTAAAATACATCTGTGGGCTATACTTGCCCCAGATTATGAGTCTACAACCTCCAGCCGATCGGTTCTGAGATCTAGTCCACCTCTACGCATCTAGGATTTAATTTATTTAACAGGCCCGTACATGGTACTACTCCGTGCCTGTCATTGATTTGTGTGCTTTACTACTCATCCAGTCCCCCTCACACTCTCCTGACCCATTTTACAGATGAGGAAACTGAGAGCAGAGGCCATGTAGTGGTAGAGCAGGAACTGAGACCCAAGGCTGGAGAGCCTTGCCCCATCCACAGGATATGCTCTCAGAGCCCCCGTCACTTGCTGATGTGGCTTTTTTTATCCCATGAGTGCAGCAGACAGCCCGGCCCACCTTCTTCGCCCGCAAGTTTGAAGCTGTGGTGAATCAGGAGATCATTGGGCAGCTGGATTATTACCTGTACGGGAACTACCCAGCAGGCACCCCCGGCCTCCGCTCCTACTGGGAGAACGTCTATGATGAGCCTGATGGCATCCACAGCCTGAGCGATGTCACACTCACCCTGTACCACTCCTTCTCCCGTCTGGGCCTCCGCCGGGCCGAGACATCGCTGCACACCGACGGGGAGAACAGCTGCAGGTGAGCCCACAGAGAGGCAGCCTGGGGGACGTGGGTGGGAGAGCCAGGAAGCAGGGAGGGGGCGAGGGGGTGGAGGAGGGACACTCTCCTCTTTAGGGGTCGCAGCATGTGCCCGTGCTTCTCTCCCTCTCTTCCTTGGTCAGAAGTTCCGCCATGAGCCCTCCTGGCATGCAGAGCATTTCTGGTCTAAGCGACCACCATGCTTTTTTCCTTGATGTTCTTAGAACACCAGATCCACTGTCGCCCTGATGACTTTCCTTGGGTTGGCTTATGCTTCACACTACATGTGTATGTCTAGAAGGAAGCTGTACGTTGCTTTATTATATGGTAGTGCATGTCTTCAAGCAAAGTGGCCATGAAGTTTCAAAGCATTGCTGCTTTCTTTTTGCTTTTCATGATAGAAACTGTCCAATATATACAAAAAGGACTGGTGCAACCCCTTGCTTCTGCCACCCAGCCCTAGCAGTCAAAACAGCCAGCCCATCTTGTCCCATCCCACCTTCGCTCAACCTCCTCCTCTTTTCATATCAGTTTGAAGCCACGCCCAGACATTCTATCCTTTCAGCCATAAATATTTTAATATGTATCTCTGAAAAAGAAGGGCTCCTTTTAAAACCTAGCCATAATGTCATGCTCACACCTAAAAATATAACCAAAAGCATATTAAGAGGCAGAACTATTGAGAAAACGTTCAGCTTCCTCCTAAAGTCATCTCACCAACCGCTAGTGGATACCAGTTGACACTTCAGAATAGAGTGTTCTAGAATAAATGGAAAGACGAGGGGAAGGTAGGAAAATAATTCAACTTGCTCCCCTCCCCTTTCCTCCCTTTCCCCGAGCCTTTTCATTTTGTGTGCCTTTTCTTCAGTCCCCCGGCACTGCGCATCGTGGATATTTACATAATTGCAACAAGGATTTGCTATCCTGTTTTCTTCAGTTGGCATTATACTATTAGCCCCCTTCTCCCATGTTTCTCTGCAGCTTCCGTAATGATAATGATCCTTTCTAATGCCGCGAGTATTCCATTGAGTGGAAATTCCAGAGTTTGCTTAATCCAGCCCTTGCTGTTGCTATTGTCAGTAATGCACCATTGTAAATAATGTTCTGATGAATACCGTTTTGCAGAAAGCTTTCTCTTTTTTTTTTTTTTTTCCACTCTCTATTCTGATTATTTCCTTAGGATAGATTTCCAGAAGCGCCTCTAATCACGCCCCTTCTCTTTCTTGTTCCCCCTTCTCCATCTCCTCCCCCTTCTCCTCCCACCTCCCCATTTAACAACATAGCAATTTTTTCTCCTTTTTTTGAGCATCTGTCTCTCTTTACTGAGCCATCCTTGTGTGTGTCTCTTTGCCTGCTCTTCTGTCTTCTCAGAGAGGGAAGAAGAAAGGAACTATTCGGTTCCCTGAAACTCCGCAGCACAGGTGGTTTCCTGCCTGGTGCCTCGTCCCTGGCTGGCGGCCCCTGGCTGGCGGGGTTTCTGCATATTACAACAGTTCGTCATGACCTCCCCGGGGTCTCCAGACTTCTCTCCCTGCATGTTCTGATGTAGCTCAAAGGTGACTAGCACAGGTCAGGAACCAGGACTGCCATTTGTACCCTGCTTCCTGGCTGTTGACCTGGGGTGAGTCATGAACCTCCTGAGCCTCAGTTTCCTCCTCTGGAAAAGGAAAGCAATAATCGTTCCATCACTAGGGTATTGTGAAATGGAAGAGATGATTGTCAAAAACCGGGTGCTGGACTGCACTGCTGGAAGCCACAAGGCCGACGCAGGTTCAGATTCCTGCAGTGGCCTAAAATACACCGGCTCACGTGGATGCCCAAGATCCTGACAAGCTAGAGGGTGGAGAAAGGAGATTACAGCACGATGAGGCCGTGTCATAGGTGCACCCCCCCACCCCGTCTTGTGCACACAGCACACTATCACACACAAAAATTGCCTTATGAATGACATAGTATTATCTCCCATTTTAGTGGTAGTTTATATACAAGGGGACTCCAAAACATTTGTGGCAAAATGGAATTAAAGCAGATATTTATTTCAGTACAACGAAATTGTGAGTTCCATGCATAGTTTTTTGTGGGGTTTTTTTGAGAGTTGGTTTTTTTTTGTTTTTTGGGGGTTTTTTGGCTATAGGATGCGTGCACTTGCCAGACCGACAGAGAGACAGAGACAGAAAGTGAGAAATCACCCCCTGGGGGCAGTGGCCATGCCGCAATCCCTTCTCCATTCTCATCTCAGGATCTTGGGCACACAAGCACACGCACCTGGTGTGAGTTTTAAGCCACCGGGTCTGGGACTCAAACCATGGTCGACTACATGGGAGTCCAGCGACATAGCATTACGCTAACTGCTGGTCCCCATGCATATTTTTTTCATCACATGAATTTCCCGTGAACTTTTTGAAGACCTCGCATACTAATGGTCATAAAAAGCTAAGAACCAAGAAAGTATAGGTTTGTCCACTGTCCAACTGCTGGTACCCATTGCCATGATGAAGCCACCAGTGGCAGTCCACAGCAAACCCCCATGTGAGGCAGGAACTGTTGCAGAAACCTCTCACAGCACAGCTCACTTACTGTCTTTCCTTTGCTCTCCTCCCCCCACTGTCACCGTATAGCCCACCTACTCCTGTCAGCAAGGGCTGTCCAGGTGCCACCTCCTTTGTGTAGCTCTGCAAGAGCTCCCCCAGCTTGCCCCACACCCACTGCCTCCCAAGCTGAAAGTAGCTCAGGACATCTCCAAGACACCCAGACCTGCAGTCGCAGTGCCTTAGAGCAAGGTCACGGACAGCGGTCTGTCCCTGTGCTAGACTGAGGCCAAAACCACTGTGTGCATCCCCAGGGCACAGCACAGAGCCTGATATGTGGGAGGCAAACATCGTTCAAGGATAGTTTTAGGTTACGCAGGTACTG